AGTTTAGGAGCCACAGCTGAGAAGGCTCTGTCCCCTTTATTCACCAGCCGGGTCCTGGGAACCACCAAAATCATCTGATCCTCAGATCTCATAGCTCTACTGGGATGATAACTGTGTAGCAGCTCAGAAAGATAACCAGGTGCCAGACCATTTAAACATTTAAAAACCAAGAGTAAAACTTTAAAGACAATCCTAAAAGAAACAGGCAGGCAGTGAAGGGAWTGGGCTCAGATCGTTTGGTCCCCGTTAACAAACGAGAAGCAGAAATCTGGATCAACTTAAGATGGTGGAGCACAGACTGGTCAATCCCACTGTAGAGGGAAATGCAGTCATCACAGAGATTAGATTAACTTCAAGTTAATATTTGTAGCGACTGCAGCTTGTTTTTGTTCTGTTTTGATCTTTCACACGGAGTTAAATTCAACAAGTGGAAGCTAACGTTAGCCACAGTTAGCTTACCGTTCTCTGTCGTCCTGCTCTCTTGTCTTTAGCGTCATACCGGATGGTCCTGTACAGCCTTTGGTATTTTTCCTTCCAGTTTGGTGTAGTCCATTATTATTGTTGTGTCGCAAATAAAACTAAATAAAACTTGCGCGTTTGCGGTCCCGCCCACATCGAGACGGCTCTCTGCTCAGTTCAACAGAGCCGGGGTAGAGCAGCAGTGCCCTCTGCTGGATGAAGACAAAACTACACTGAAATAAGGTTTAAACGGATGTCTTCAACGATCTAATGGAAGAAATTTTAATCTAATAAAACATTATTCGACGATTAATCGTAAGTCGATTAATTGTTTGCATCCCTGGTTTGAACTCTTTTTTTCCCCCTCTGATTTCACATTAACTTCACCTGGACTGTGAATCAGATTCCAGACATTTCTAACACAGAATACTTTTAATGCTAAGAGTTAAAAAAGAAAGAAATCAAAAGGCACCTACTAAAAAAATCTTTCTAAAACCTGCTGGTACGTGACGTATCCCAGTCTGTTTCACATCCTGAGGTTCAGTGTTTGAAAGCTGTAAGAGGATCCACATGTCAGAGTCTGTAAACATTAAAAAGAGCGGAAATTCTCTCCTAGATTATATCAGAGTTTTACCTCAAGTCATGTGAGATTTTAATCTTCAGTTTCATTCAAATAATCTGTTAAAACATTTTAAATTCTCTGAATGAGCAGTCATTGCTTTTTGCCTTTTACGACTCATTTTTAAGCACAGAAACGGCTCGGTGAAGAAGATGACGTGTCAGGATGAAGAATATCATGAACATTTGCCCAGAGCCAGTCCAGGAGGGGTTCAGACCTCCCCCCCACTGCTGAATAAGCAGATTTATCTTGTATCTGCTGCAGAAGAAAAAAAACTTGCTCATATGAAGCCTTTTAATGTAATTAAACKTTCTTTGTGAAGCCAAACACTCTTATCTTCAGCTAACACTACATTTGGATGATTAACAATTTGAATTTTTCATCTCTTTGTTTCTGCTGTGAAGACATTCTAATACGATGACATCATCCAGAATCCACCTCTGTTTCAAGCTTTTCAATGTGTTTTTACATACAGCAGATTTTTATTTAAGCCTTAAAGGTCTGAMAAATCAGACAAAACTTGAGCCCTACAGCTCATTACAAATATTTTACCAGCTGGTTTGTATTTTTGCACCACTTGTTAGCAGCTTGTTAGCATTTAGAAGGAGTTTAAATCCCAAAACTCTTTTTTTTTTGCAGTCTCTTCAGCATTCAGATGTCGTTTCTTTCCTCTCTGCTGCCCAGCTAGTAAATGCAAATGTAATGGAGACAAATCTCTGTAATGAGTCTCTGTGCTTCCAGGAAAAAAAAAAACGTCTGATGGGTAAAACTTTTAATTACAGCAGATCAAGTGTTCAGGGAAGTCGTCTGAAGCTGCCCCAATAGCTGATCAAAAGAAAAAGATTGATCCTGTTGCTCCACAGGTCCTTAAATGTAACTCAGATTTAGTTTTTTCAATCAGAGTATTGATCTCATGTTTGTTTTTCCTCCTCGTCTTTAACAGCATCCAAAGAAGAAGTGAAGCGTGAGCAGGGTGTCCTCCAGGTGTCCTCCAGGTGTCCTCCAGGTGTCCTCCAGGTGTCCTCCAGGCTCCAAGAAGAACAAGTGAAGATCAACTTTCAGGGAACACTTTGTTTCTACAGAGACACAAACAAACAAAACAAACCTGTGAATGACCTGCAGATTTTACACAATAATCATTTTTAATTGCTTTACCAAAGCATCAGTTGTGTTCTTATTTATCTAATGCTGGTTTTGGTTTGTTTACGTGTTTGTTTTTAAGATTTTTTTCTCTTTAAGGGAAAAGTGTAATTTTGTCAAAGCCACACATATACAGTTATTTTCTCAGTTTTTTTTTTTTTTTTTGCTTTGAACAGAATGAAACTACAAAGGAAATCTGTAATAAAATTATTTCATAATGCCCAGATGTAGAAGTGATTTCATCTGTGCTGCCACCTACTGGCCAGTTTAAAAAAGGTATTTGTTTTCAGAAAACTAAGTCTATAAATCCAAGATAAAAAATTTAAAAAGTGGACTGAAGAGTTTTAAAAACAGTTTGTTGCTACAGAATTGGTGAGGATGTTTTGAAAAAAAGACTCGGGTGCCTCTGATGTGTTTGAAATTTAGCTTTTCAATACTTCAGATTCAAACACGTAGAAAATCCACTGATGACACAATAACGACACGAATTATGTTATTAAATAACCTGAAAGTGTTTTTTTTATGTTTGTTTTCAGTCTGTTGCGTCACCTTCATGGTGTTTGGAGTCTCTGAGCTCAGGGATCACGTTCATGCAGGCGACACAGCTGCAGATAAAACAACAAAAGGGTTTAAAGGAGAACAGTTTGAAAGGTTCCTTCAAGTTCTCAGGGCTCGACTACAAACAGATATGTTTGTCAGTCTGTTTTTGTCTTAAAGCCTCTTTTTATTACTCTGTGWGCTGGAAAACCAAAGCAGCTCTGAGCTGTAGGTCCACCAGAGCCGTGTTGGACAAAAGATGTGATGTTTTCATCACCTGGTTTTAACAAACTGAGATTTGAAGCTGCGCTAAGTTCAAATTTGATAGATTTTATTAGATTCTTTTTAACGTTTAAGATTTGACCTTAAAATGCAGATGAAGACAGACGTGTAAGAAAAAACATGGTTGAAAGTAGTTTAGGGGAAAAAAAAGCTAAAACAAATTAAATAAACAGCAGGTTGCAACAGAAGAGGATCAGGGCCCCAGGACAAAAATCATTTTTCCCCCTCTGTGTTCAGACATCTCTGACTATACTTCCCCAAATTATTACATAAGAATGTTAAGATCAAAACTTGGTGGAATTTTTTTTATTTTTTATTTTTGCTCCTAATCTTACAAAGATTGCTCATATAAAGGACTTGGT